ACAACCAGTACATGGAGGACGTGATCTTCCAGGGTGGGCATGGCCGTGCCTACGACCCCGAGGAGACCCAAAGTCAGGATGGCCGCGCCCAGTACGTGCCCGATGAAGAGGCCGACGACCGTGCTGACTACGACCATGGTGATTCGTGGCATGAAGACGATGACTTCTATGTCGAAGGTGAAGATGAAGATGAAGGCAATGATGTTGATATTAGTGGCGAGCCATTGTTCATCGACGAGCTCACCCAAAGAGCGGAAGCACAAAAGAAGTGAAAGAGCATTCGCACGGGTTCATATACACAAGATGAGGACAAGTTGATTTGCCAAGCTTGGATGGAGATTAGCCAAGATCCAAGGACCGGCGCGCAACAAAAGGGCATTGTTTTTTGGACGAGAGTCCACAAAACATTTCATGAAAGGAAGATGTTTGAGCCCTATCAAATTACAAGCAACCATGGCATCAGCTCGATTCAAAAAAGATGGTTGTTCATCCAATAAGAGTGCAACAAGTATTACGCCGCATTTGAGAGCGTTGAAGCATGGCCCGTGAGTGGACTCGGCGTTGGGACATGGTATGCTCTCCTCTTTCTTGCCCTTTTCGTTGCTACGGCCATGAGACTTCGGCCGTGTATATGTTTGCATGTTCACTTGTTGTTGATCATGTGGTGTAGGAATTTCAATCTTTGGAGGCATTCAAGGCCCGACACAATGACAAGCCATTCACTCTTACGCATTGTTGGACGCTCATCAACAATTGCCCTAAGTTCAAGGACCAATACCGTGAACTACAAAGGAAGAGAGGACTGAAGACGGCCAAGTTCGCCGGAGGTGGAGATGGCGAGGCGTTGAAGAGGCCGAGGGGCAAGACCAACTCCAAGGTTGATGACATATGTGATGCCTCATCCATGGCATTGCATGACACTTTGCATGGCATGATGTCTCAAAACGATGTGAGGGACGAGAAGAAGCGGCAAAGCAAGGACGAGCAAATGAAGCAATACCTAGACCTTCAAAGAAAGAAGCTTGAGATGGAGGAGGCGGCCAAGAAAAGGAAGATAGACATGGAGGAGGCGGCCCGGCAAAGGCAGCTCGACATGGAAGAGGCCGCCCGGTAAAGGCAGCTCGACATCGATGCCGACAACGTTAAGGCCAGGCAGAGGCAGCTCGACATCGAGGCCACCAATGCCGCCACCAAAGCGAAGGAGGTGGCCCTTGCGATCATGAGCATGGACTTGTCGAAGATGAGCGACAAGACGAGGGCCTAGTTCGAGGCCAAGCCGAAGGAGATGCTCGACGCTGAAGGTCTGAACTAGGTCGTCCGATCGGCGTGGCCGTTCTTTTTGGAGGCTGGCATGGATGCCGCCCGCCCACTGGGCCGCTGGCAGTGTGCCGGCAAAAAACATTCATTTTGGAGGCCGGCTGTGTTGCCGGCCGCTGGCTGTGTTGCCGGCGAGGACAACTATTTATTTTGGAGGCTGGCTGTGTTGCCGGCCGCTGGCGGATGCCAGTGATGGTCGTGTAGGCCGCTGGCTTTGTTGCCGGCGTGATGAACTGGGGTCGTGAACTGGGGCTTGGCATTTGAAACGTCGCTTTTTTTTAAATAGACGCGGACAGGATGGGGCAAAAGGATGCGGCCGCGCGCTGGGCGCACGATCGCCGCATCCCAGGACAGGCCCGGACACGGCCCCAAATCCCTATCCAAACGGACAGAATCCGGACAAAACAGACGTCCGTTTAGAGTCGCGCGGTGGAGTTGGCCTAAGGCCTTGTACAATGCAAGGTGTTTAAGGGAGGTTGTTTGGAAAAATAAATCAAATTTTTCTGAAGCACCGTGCTTATTTTGTACAGGATAGACGTTTAATTAGATGTTTTTCTATAAAAATAGGCATCGATGTTTCAGAAAAGCCCGGTTTATTTTTTTTAAACATCTAGTATTGTACAAGGCTTAACACCCTCGTTTGAAGACGTCGTATCAGCCTGATGGTCGTACCACATGTGTTCGTGAGGTGAGCGTGGAAAATTGTTGGCAAATGTGCAGTGCGTGATTTAGGATGATTTTTTGAATTTAAGAGATTGGCCCTCAACGACAAAACATTTCTCAATAGCATGATTGGCGATTCCAAGACAACTTGTGTCGATCTCGAGGGTGCATCGTTTCAGCTATTTTATCATGAGTTCATGCAGGATGCAGAATTTGATCAATTCGAGGCCTCCGACTCGTCAACTTTAAGCCCTATGAGGATATTGTGCTTGTCTCCACATGGGAAGATAATTCTCTTCAAGTGGTCGCCGATAAAGATCAATCGGTCGCGAAGTATTGGAAGTGCATTTTAGAGCATTTCGAACATCATCTTGGTCGGAGAATGGATTGTAGCCTCAAATCTATCACAAACCAATGGAGTGCAATTGAAAAGATGTGCAGCTCTTGGGCGGGTTGTTTGGAGCAAGTGAAGCATGTTCCTCCTAACGGTGTCACCATTGACCATGTAAGTAATCTTAATGTTTTTCCATTGCCACATTTGCATTACTTTGATCATTCTTATCATTTCAATCATTTGTTTGTTTTAGGAAAGCATAGCTCAAGAGCGGTGCTAGCAAATGGCCAAGTCAAAGGGCAAACCATTTGGCCACCAACATTGTTGGGATTTGTTGGAAAACCACGAGAAATGGAAGTCGATAAACGATGATGGCAGTCCAAAAACTGGGAAGGGCATGCATTCCTCTTTGGAGTTGGGGGACAGTGAAGATGATGATGGTGATGGAGAGGAAAGAGAAAAGGTTCCTAGAAATCCGACCCTGGCTGCTAGCATGGGTCGTCCGGACATGAGAAAGAGAGGAAATGAGATGCTCAAGAAAGAAGGAGAGGTGGAGGCGGTGAAAAAAATATCAGTGAGTTGACGAGGACAAGAAATGAGTACACCAAGAAGAGAAAGTAAGAACAACAAGAGATGGAAAAGAAGAGAGTGGGTTCGGATGTTATGTAAGAGAGCATATGGCATCAAGCAAAGATGGAGACGGTGAGGATCCATGCTCAGCATGAGCTGAAGGAGCATAAGATCCAACTTAAGGAGGATCAGGTGAGGGATGCATGCATAGCTGAGTAGAATAGGTTCGTCATGTTGGATCCATTGACATGAGATTTTTGGGGTCAAGTGCGAGATTTGGCCCTACATTCCAGGACCGGAGGAGGAGGGGCAACACATATGCAGGAGGAGGAGGGCACACCACACACTCCAAAGGAG